TTCACAAAGTAACTAATTTTTCATTGTACATTATTAGTTAAAGAACTATATTACTTAAAAAATATGAGGAGTCCACTAAGTTAGTTTGAATTAAACAAAACTAAATTTAAACTAGGTACTCTAAATTGAATTTAGGAAATAATATTATACTCTTCTAGTAGCTTGACATAGTGTCTCTAAATCAAACAGAATCATTACCAACAGTTTGTCACTGTTAATTATCCTGAAAAATGATAAATTGCTAAAGTATGACATTGAAAAAAATAGAAAAAAAAATATAATTCAAAGTTTTTCAAAAGATTCTTGTTTCATTTCACAATTTCTTCTCAAAAAGAGTTTGCCTGATTAAAATATCCTCAAAGCTTTATAATGTTTGAGAAACTTAACCATTCCTAAAAGTAACTTCAAGAAGAACATTTGAAAAACTTATTCTTCTATTAATATATGGATTCAATTATTGCTACTGGAGTTAGTATTATATTACAGAAGAGTTTGCTTAACTGGAATAAAGAAATCTTTTTAAAAACTTGCCTAATTAGGATAAAAACTTGAAGATTTCAGTTTTTGTTCAAAAAAGTTTTTTTTATTACTTGAAAAACTTAATGAAAGATGGAAGTCAAATCTGTTTACCTACCTATTACTTTTTTTTCTATATCATCAATAATATAATGAGATATATAAATATAACTAATAGGAGCTTGTTTATATTCCAAAAACTGACATGTTTTATGTCAGCCAATCACTTTTGATAAGGATTTATACTATTTAAAATTCAGGGTTAAACTGAGACAGGAAAAATTTTCTAGAAAACTATAAAAGTGTGAGCTTTAAGAGAGTCAAAACAGTCAAAAAGAGAGAAAATAAATCTTTTTATTGCAGAAAACTTCTGTAAACCTTTCACTTCAAAGATCAGATAGGCCTTTGGGTACTTCACAGTTAGTTCTTTTTCCTTTGAGAACTTTCTTGCCATTGGTATCAAAGATATTACTTGACTTTTCTTGATTACTAGAAGCCAAGTTTTTGAGTGAAGAGGTTTGTAAACAATAAGGGAAGGGTAGTAGTGACTTTTGAAGTAATACTTCAAGTTGTTTTAAGGAAAGTGTAAGACTTTATTAGCAAGAAGTATAAAAACTTCTTGCAAACATCTTTTTTGTGTGTGGTTAGAGAATCAGCAAAAAGAGTTTATTTTATTAATAAATTATATAATACTAATTTTATATATATTATATATTATATTATACTATAAAGATAAAGTATATTAGATTATTGAAATAAGATATCAATTTTATTTTAAATTATAAAGTTAAATAATATCAAGATATATTAAATATATTTACTTTAATTTTTGCAAATTTCAATAATATATGTGATAATGAATTGATGGACTTGTATTGAGTAAAATTTAGTAAAATAAATTAAAATATTTATAAAAGGTGATTATTTTTTAAAAGAAAAAATATTTGAACTATTGTTGTTTCTAATGTATAGTATATGATTATAAGATGTAAATTGATAATTAGTTGATAACAATATTGTTTTAATAGGTTTTCAAAATTGAATAGATTTTGAAATCGATGATAAAGGAAAAAAAAATGGTATAACTGTAGATGTCTTTTCAGATAATTCATTTTGTTTAATAAAAATATTTCTCACTTTTATAAGATTGTAATTCTAACATATGCCTCGAGTATCAATAAAACTTCGAAATAAATTAAACAAGCCTATTTGCATAAGGGTTTTATACTGTAAATAAAGTTCATGTTTATCTTAAGAATCACACGAACAAGTGCGAGTTGATCCTTCGGAACGAACCTCGGCGGTCGGACCGGATCGGGATTTTAATAGCCCTAGTTTAAGATATTACTCTAGCATGGTGAAAAATAATAATAATAAAAAAAGTAACGAATTTGAAAAAGAGGACAATTACTCCATAAAGGCGAAAATAATATATCCAACACCATCAAAATCCCGTTCGTTTTATTCGGTTTATTCCTAAAGGTACATTCTTAATCGAACACATATAAAAGAACTATTTTAAGAAATTTTTTGCAAATGAAAGTGCTTGAGTCCTTTTATCCAACCTAATGGACGTTTATTGCTGAATGTAAAAGGGACCACTTTCAATGAAACAATCAGCAAATCCTTCGATCTTTTTCGAATATATCCTATAGAAAAATTGACGATTCCCTACAACATTATGAGGCAGCTTAATTTCTACCCTGATCCTAGTAGATTGACCTGGAGCAACAAATCTTTTGCCTTTCCACAAAGGTTTCACGTAATAACGGTTTCCAGTCGTGGAATCGATCCCCCAAAGTTGAACTAACTTGATGAATTCGATATTACTATTGAAGTCGCGATAAATTTTTATAGAATGATGGGACTTTTGTGGATAGGTGATTCCCGGACGAGCTGGGTAGACGACACGGAGACCTGAGATCATTTTTATGTGAAAAGATGGAACATTTGACCACAAAACTTTAAGAACATTAATCTTGAGCTGAAGAATCCGTGATTACCTTTGCACTTTTCCTCTTGAGTCGCCTTCGGTTGATCGGCATTGACGACTCCAAAAGTGAGGAAAACCAAAAGCAGAAGGGTTACAGAGTTGCGCGAGAACCTCATTGTGGTGATTTAAAGTTCGAGAAGTTGACAAGAACAAAATTCGATTATAGTGACCAAAAGTTTTTATACCTTCTTTTTGGACGAGTTAATGTAACTTTTTTTTTTTTTTTGATGATTAAGTATTTAGGATGACAGCGAGGGTAGTGAATCTTGACTTTCTTTGATAAACTTTTGAATATTTGATTTACTGATATTATAATTGAGAATACATGCGAACAATCAGATTTACTATTTTCCATCATTCGAGTCTGTTTTAATCTGAAGCTTATTTTTATACTTTATGATACCAAGCTACACTAATTTCTAATTTTTTACAGTCAAATAGCATGTCAAAAGATTCTCACAATCTCTCATCTCATTCCTCAATTGACTTACCTCTCTCTTTAATCCTTCAATTTCCATTGTTATCTTTGGTGTTATTTCACGTTGATTTTGATTATTACAAAAGGGATTCGTTCCACTATTACCTCCAATACCCGGACCCGACGCCGACTCCAGTAATGAATCTCTCACTTCGTCGATTTGCCCTGGTCCATACCCTTTGAAGGGGTAACTTGAATCACATGCGCTTGACACATTGGCATCGGATTCATCATGCATCTTGGTGAATCCATTTGATTTTAATGCTGCGGATGGTGGCTTCTCAATTCGATTTAATGCGATGGCATTGTTATATGGACCATAATCGCGACCAAATTGATTAAAGGAGATGGACGGAGTGGAACGAAAAATATACTTTTGGAAGAAACCGTAAGGGTTTAGTCGTGAGTCACCCCACAGAAGCTTATATATTAAGAGAAGTAAAATGGCGAAGCCTCCGATCATTGGTAAAAGGTCATAGGCCGTAAAATATTTTCGTTCCCGATAGACAGTCACTTCATATCCACCAAGCGAGGGTTCATAGTCTGGTCTATTTAATAATATCGAAGGAGATTAGTCGTTTATTCCGACACTAAAATTCAAAAGCATGCCACTAATCTTAATGGGTTTACCTAATATAAATCTCTCCCCATTTTTTAGTTTCGTTTTTAAATACCGGAGTGGCCCTTCTTGCCGGTACCATATCATAGGTGATTATGAGTTTTCCGTCCTGAAGTCATTTTAGGAAAGAAAGTTAATTTTTGTCGTAGATGAGTTTATGAATAATCGAGAGAGATAACTCTTGCCAATTTGTATAGCTCCCGGCGTGAAAAGGTAAATAATGACTCGCTCGGTAGATTGAAGAAATCAGGACGGACAAGGAACGGATCTTGTCCCATCCAAGGCCAATATATTCCAAATTCAGCTATCGTTAGTGAATTCAAAATTGACAATACAATGTCAGTAAACATCTTTGGTTCCTCTATATTATCAATATATCAAATATATAATTACCCCATCGACGAGTTG